TACTGTGTAGGGAAACCTTTGGCAATCAAAACAGCTTACGGTCTTCTCAGAATGGATAAAAAGCTCTTGTATGCTTTGCAAGGAAATTTCGTACCATTCTTCTTTACTGAACTTACCAGTAACATTGCCAAGTTCAGTTAATGATGAGGGTGCTGGATAGCTCTCACGCAAATTTCTGTCCAAAATAGCCCACAAAGATTCAATAATATTGATATCTGGTGACAGTGGTATACAAACCATTGATTTTTCTCACCTGCAGTCCAACCTTGTTAAGCCTTCATACAGCAGTTAAATGGCTAATTAAAGTTCTTGTGGCAGCCTGAAAGTCTAAAACCAAATTTCTTAGAGTTGCTTCACAGTGTCTTTGAGTTGACATTGATAGAAAATAGTCTTCTGATGCGTGTGTCACTGTTGATCATCCTTGACTAGACTGTCTAGCAGCTGATCCAATGCTTAAAAAACATCTTCAAACTCTTGATGTGGCACTTTGAGTGACATTAAAATATTGAGCAAATTTGTGCTTGCCTTTCCTTGATTCTACCAATTATTCATGACTTTTGACCTTCACTTTAAATGATGCATTTGAGCCATAACTACTGAATACTGATAACTCTCAGAAACCACATTCACTTTAAACAACACTCCAGCCTGAAATTCCAACATTAATCCATTATGTACCACATTGTCAATCATCGAATTTGCATATTTCCGTCACTAACGCATGTAAGGAAGTGCAATTTTGTGTTGAAACGTATTTAATTAGTATAAATAATTATAGCATTGGACATTGGTTGCAACATTAACTTTGTGAGCGTATTTTTTGTCATTATCCTTTAATTTTGATGACCAATTTATATAGGCACCAATTTATATATGTAGCAGAATTTTTAATCACTTTGTTAATTGAAGTAGCAAATAAAATCCTCTTTGCATAGCAGTGCTTTCCATCTTTATGAAAGTCACTTTTTTCAAGCTAGAAACAGATCAGTGTAAGGATATGGACTTTTTTAAGCTGGAGCATGCTTTTGATGATTTGTGTTCTCAAAAATGGTCCACTTGCAAGAAAGATGCCAATGCTTTTATCCTATATAATGGGTCTGAGCCTTTTTTGCCCCCTTTCACCATTAGTGGAAGATAATCTTTCCTTCTTCCCCAAGCCTGAAAAATACTTACAGTTGCTCACAAAAGTGTTCATACACTTATGAATTTCAGCAAAGTATTGCTTTATTCATTAATAAAAATTAATATTTTGGAAGGAAAATGTTTTAATAATATCTACAACTGTCTCTTAACCAAACCTACATTAATTAGTAAAAGTATATTTATGGATGCCCCTTGGCGATAATTGGCGGTACATGGACACCGAGTTTGTGCAGTTCTTTGACTTGTTATTTTGAATTTGTTTAGCAGCAATTTTTGCATGCAAAAATCACCGCTGCACAAAACAGACAGAAAAGGTAAAATAAATTCTTTAAAATTTGCAGAACTTTTTTTAACTATCCAATCGGAAAAATGCAAAAAACTGAAATAATTTATAATATCTGTTAATGATATTTTTTACCTGTTAGTTTTATCTGTTTGTTATCTGTAAGATTTTAATCTTATCTGTTAATTTTAATGAACATTTGCACTATTAAAGCAGTTATAAATATGTTTCTAATGACATCAGTATAAGTACATTTGTTGTTTATGTTGCTTGAGTTTTTTTTTATATCCTCCACAATAAATACGTAGGTTAGGGCAAAAGTCATGGCAACTATTTTTTTTCTTGAAGATACCAGTCCGGTTGGAAAATGTGACATATGCAGAGGAAAGGACAAAGTCTTAGCTACATGTGTGGACAATGAATAGCACTGAAATATCGTAACACACAAATTTATTACGGTAGTATACAGGGCAATATGGCCTTCACTGTGCAAAAGAATGATGACACAATATACATAAAGTTGACATGAGAAACCTGGTCCTGAAGACCCACAATGTAGTCCCCTGCTACTGTCACTACACGCTGCCAACGATGTGGGAGGCTCTGAATACCATCAGCTTCAGCATTTGCCGCACCATGTGTGAATCGGGTCATCTGTTGGCGCACAGCATTAGCAATGTCCTCTCGTGTTGCAAACTTGCCTACCTCATATTGGTTCCTTAATCTTGAGAATGAGATCAAATTCACTGGACGAAAGGTCAGGAGAGTACCGGTGGGTGCTCGAATTCTTCCCTTCCCCAATGTCGGAATAGCTGCCATACACTGCTTTATGTGGTCTTGCATTGTTGTGCAGAAATTATTGCACTGTCCACAAGATCCGGACGTTTATCTCGAATGCCACGTCGTACCTGTCACACCAGGAAGTCCCTGTAGTACTGTACAGTCACTGTTCTGCCATGAGGAACAAAGTGGCAAACAATGACACCCCTGACGTCATACGCGACGATCACCATCAATTTGACTGGGGAAGGATTCTGATGCTAGCTCATTACACAATATCCTGTGGACAGTGTGTTTTTTGATGCCACTTGCTCTCTCCAACTCCAGCAACATCCATTGTCTGTCTTCATCCATGAGGTGCTCGATGACGTCAGGGGCTAAGTCGGTCTATACACTCACCGGTTGTCTCGAACATTGCTCATCACTGTTTGACACACGTCCTTGCTGAAACTTTCCTACTTACTGTGCTACTTTACAATATGGTAGGGCATTATTACCAAGGTCTACTAATTCATTGTGACATTCCATCGCATTTCTCCCTCGGAGAATGGCTATTTTGATGTAAGCGCGCTGCTCAACACAGTTTACTTCCATCTCGCACGACACTCACCAACTGACTGATTTCAGAGCCCTCGCTAATACAGAGCCAGCTATCACAGAGTCATCTGTTGTTCTGTATACACACTATGCCTGCAGAACTTCCACACGACACATATACGTTTTGTGATCGGTTCACATATCTACAAGAAAAAAATAGTTGCCATTACATTTGCCCCAACCCTCATAATAATTTTGGTTCAATTAATTGTGGAATTATTTTAATATTTATATTATATATTTTAATATTATATATATAGCAATATTGGGATATTTTCGTTTAAAAAAATTTTTTATCATAAAATTTAAAATGTATTATATATAAATTATAGACAAAAAGACAAGAAACTTAGAACCAAATTCACAAAGATACAAAAGAAGTTAAATTCAATACAATTAAAATCAAAAATTCCCATAAATATGTAAAAAGTCAACTTACTGTCACTAAGAATTGTTGTAAACTACAGATACATAAAATAGAAACTATGTTGTGTATTTGGTTTTAAATTTTTTACTTTTTGTCTATAATTAATTTTTCAGCTGCATATTGCATGGAAATAATATTGGAATGATTTTGTTTTAAAATAAAAATATTATGATACTGTATATACGGAGGCTATTCCCACTTTTTTTAGATGATTTTCATTGTATTCACACAGATATTTTACCTGAAATGTTTGTGTTTTAAATGTTCTGTTTGATAACTCTTATTCTTCACTATCTTTTTACGCCTCGGTTTCGAAGACAATAGGTTTTATTGTATCGGAAGAGGTATTTTACCCCATTCTTCTTTAGGAGCTTTCCAATGTCCAAGGAGAGTTGTAGGTCGATCTGAACAGACTGCTTTTTGAAAGTCCATAACCACAAAAATCCATGAGTGTTACATCAGGAGATTTAGTAGGGGTATGAGTGAAGGCCTTTATATCCATTTCTTCCATTTTTCCCAGGAAATTAACAGTGGATTTTTCACATGTGGCTGCTTGCTTTGCCTTGATGCAGTTATGTTGATTGATGGCATTGTGGATAAAGAGAAGGTATTTCATACATTCTCTTTATTTTTAAGATTGAAAAAGGACCGAGTATCGTGGAGAAAGATGATGCACATTATGTTTTTTTTTTGTCTTTTTAAGATTCAAATCAGGATGAATCACTTTGTTTACAGTTGACACTGAGATACAACTGGTCCTTTTTTGACTTCGAAGATTTTCTTTTAACATTAAAGATCTTATCTTTGCAGCATTCGAAACATTGCATTTTTTCCTTGGATATGTATTTGGAAAATTTTTTCCACTTACAGCCAAACTCGTTAAAGCTTTTACATTTCTTGTTGACAGTATTATCTATCATAGCTTCAGATATCGAAAAATCACTGCTTTCACAGCATTTTTTAATAGCTAGTTACAAATAAATTTCTTTAGAAAGAAAAACACAAACATATCATTCCATCCATTGCTTCTTTAAAACTGCCATTTTGCATGAAAACAAAACTGTAATATAGCAGATGATAATTTATACTTTCAAAAATATAGTTGCAGTTAAAAAAAATTTCCAGGCAGCTTTTTTTTTTTTTTCTTTTTCTTTTCAGTAAAGCAAAATCATCTAAAAAATGCGCAAACAGCCTCTTTATATGTACACATATATATATAATAGTTTTTTTATTGTATATTTTGAAGTTTGACTGAAATTGCTTAGAATTTTACAAAACTTTCTGTAAACATGCTTTGATTCTTTGAAACCCGAGGGAGTGTAGGGGTTTTAATTATTAGTAACTTTTTTTTTTGCTATTATTCTCCTCGCATTACAATAGATTTTTCACACTTATATTTACATTTTATTTTTATACAAATTAATCCGAGTTTAATAATAACATATTTTGATAATTTAATATTTTTAATATTTGACTGCTTCCATTTTAACTCTTTATTTGCATATATATAAGTTTATTGGCCCTTTTCTGGTTTTTCACTAGTTTGACATTAAATCAAAATATTATACCAGTGAGCCTTTTTTGGGAGTGAAACTGCATTAAGAAATGTATAGTATTTCTCAGATTTTCAGTGAATGATATTATGCTGTAGTACTTCTGCGTTATATGGTGTGTATGTGTGATGCATGTTTATCATGTTGGAGTTTTGCATAAAATACACATTAAATACTAACAATGCTTTTCTAAAATGTGGATTTTATTTATTTAAAGGTATCACAGAACTCATGAATTGGTTTCGATGAGATAAATTTTAGCCATGGCTGAAGGCAATCGATCTCAGCTGAATACTTTTACTGAAACTGTTCGTAAATGGAAGAAAAGACCGCATCCTCCTGTATTTAATGGCATTGGAACATCTGAAGATAAAAATAATGACTTTTTGTGGTATGTTTTTCTTTTTAAAATACTAGTTTAATTGTAATTGCAGTCAAGTTTTTTTTCTTAGAAATTTAGTGATAATTCATTTTCACATAGCTTAGAAGTTGCAAAAATCGAAATATAGTGTTTCAGTAAAAAATATTACTAAAAGCATCGTAATAGAATTTTATGTATTTAACATAGAATTCAATAGTATAGCCTCTTAAGATTACGGATAAAAGTAAAAGTCATTAATTTTTACCAGGAGACTTCTGGTTTTTATCATGTCTCCTAGTATATCACCAAATCTCCCAGCTTTTCTTTGTTTGTTATAGAATTAATGAAACTTAAACTGTGCAAATTCCATTCTTTAACACCTAGTGATTTTGAGCATAATTTTTTTTAATTAAATTTTATTCGATCTGAATTGTCTTAATCTTCTGTAGACATTTGTAGAATTTTTTATGAAGATTCAACCAGTGTTTAACATTTGTTTTTAACCTTGTTTTAACCAATAAATGTTACATTACTAAGTTTATTCACACAATAGTATGTATAATATTAATTATTGATCTTATTTTCATCACGTTTAAAAGTACTGTATGGAAGCACATATAAGTCAACAATTTTAATAAAAAAAATCAGACTTCGAAATATGGGGTCAACTTATACGTGGAACCTAAGGAAAAAAAAAAAAAAAAAGGTATGGCGCTGCCGATCAATGGTACATTGGTGAACTTGATTATTAAATTTATTGTTCATACAGACAAAAAAAATATTGATTCTTTCCATTTTATTTATTAATTTTTTATTAAATTTGTTATTATAAAAATTCTTTACCAAAAAAGACAGCATTCCCGGCAGGTGTTCTTGTTCGCGCCCAGAAAAATGGTTGGATGGACGACACCCTAACGCTTGATTGGTTTCAAAATATATGGTACAGAAAACTAGGTGCACTTTTAGGGAAACTTTCACTTTTGATTTGCCATGTATTTTGACCACATCATTCAGAAGTTCAAAAACAACACTTTCTATGATCCCTGAAGGGCTGACATCCATTTTACAACCACTGGATGTCAGCATAAATAACCATTCAAGATGAATATGCACAAGTATTCGGTGGAATGGATGCAATCTGATTTCTCTGCTAAAACCAAATACCTACCCAATTAAAGCCAGACATAACTTTAATTGCACAGTGGGTGAAAGGTGCTTGGGACGTGATTCCAGCTGAAATGGTAATTAAATCATTCAAAAAGTGTCTCATTTCCAATAATTTGGATGGCTCAGAAGATGATGCAGTCGTTCAAAGTGATGATAATGACACTAGCTGTGATGAATCGAAGGAAGAAATTTATGACCACTCGCTAATGACTGAAAAAGAATTTCAGGATTTATTTGCAAATTCTGACTTTAAATCAGAATTTGAAGGATTAGAATGAAATTCTTTGAAAATTTTGTGCATATTTAAAAATTTTGTCATGTGCTAAAATTGAAATAAATAAAAATTTGCTAAAATGTGAGTGTAATTTTATCAAGTGCATTGTCATGCTGTTTTATCAGCTGCTCATGTGACAAATTTGTTTTTCCTAAAATTTTTCTCAAAAGTCAGGGGATTGACTTATATGCAGGTATATATGGTGTTCTAATTAATAAAAGGCTTTTCTTATTTTACTTTGGATTTTTTTTAGTGTAAAACCTTATGAGTTTTATGTTTAGGATTTTCTTAGTGTAAAACTCTATGAGTTTCATGTTTTTTATTGAGTTATTTTATTAGCCTGCCTTCACTTCTACTTCCAACAAAATGCAAATTTGTTTATATATCTAAGCATTGAGTTCTTGACTTTAAGTGAGAGCGTTTGTCAGCTGTCATTGTATCACTACTGTTTTCCTGTCATTTGAATTATTTGAATGAGCTTTGCTATGTCACATAAATCTCACATTTTAGACATGAATTTTACTTTCCCTTTGTTTCTGTTGCTTCTGCAAGCTGTTGAGTTTGTTTTTTGTTATACAGATTGTAAAGTTTTAGAATGACAAAATAATAAATCTGTGTTGTTCCTTTACTGAGAGATTAAGACATGGTGATAAGTCGTCTAACTCTTTTTATTAGATCCAGAGATTAATATTTAAAGTAGTTAGTATTAATATAAAAGTAAATTAACCAAAGAATATAAAATTTAGAATATTGACAGGATGGGTGAAATCAAACTGGCCTGAAAAATGTGGATAATTGTAATACTAAATTTATCCGTTACTTTTCCCGTTTTCCCGGCGCAAATCTCGCCAAGCAGACTTTATTGGCGACACAATACAGTATAAAATGTTAACAAATGTTAGTTCTAAGAATTTTTTATTTTGAAGGCATAAACATTTTAATATCGTTTAAAATTTTATAAAAAGCCAATAAATGAAGACGATAAATTTGTAAAAAGACATTAATTTAAGAATTAACTCTGCTTTCATGGTTCAACTTCCTGATTCGCTGGTTCATATCATGTGACCCCAAGTGATCTCATTTCACGTAAACTGCACTACAAAATCTAATTCTCTCAGTAATTATCTGCATTAATTTTAAGTTAAATCTTAATTTGGAATACAAGTTTAAAATGAAAGAATTATTTCAATTCATATCAATAGCTTATTCAAATTATGTGAAACGCAGTGCTTTACTTCGCTAATGCATTCTCATTAGAATTGACGAATTTAACCCTTTGCCATATTTTTGCCTTAGGGTGAGCAGTGTGATTGCATCCTAATTGACTTAATTACTGCGAATGGCCTTGAGGCATAAAATTGAGTAATCCGGTAAAAATTCTATGTAATTTTATACCAGTATTGAAAGAAACAATCAATCTGATAAGAAATGGCCTCGACTTGTTTTGAAAATGAGGTGTAAAAGGTTACTAGAGAGGCATCCGTTTGGCATCCGACCACTATTGGCGACTTTATCTGCTGGGCCGGCAAAACGGAAAAGTACCATTTATCCTTATAAATGAACAGGAGATCTGCCCCTTACAGAAAATTCTGTAAATGTCATCTTTGAATGTCAGTGCAGTGCTGTGCTCGTTTTATCAAACTGTGTGACATGCATAGCAGCTCTGCCTTAATACAAATAATAGTACTGTTAGTGTGGCCTGCCTAAATATGAATCTCCATGCTTTATGTTTTGCATAATATTCAGCAATGAACATGCACTGTTTTATCATTATCACATTTTTGTGCTGCATTCAGCTGATCATTAAACACATCTATACCTTGCACACAAACAACTGGTGCTTGTCATGTGTCTGCACATGTTTCTTTTATATCCATTTGTATCTGTCCTATGTATTCTGATAATTTCTTTGTTGTTTAGAATATGTTTTTATGATATTCCAAAAACACTTTTTGGGGCCAGTTTTATTTTGGTCACCTGTACCTAATATTTATTTTACATCAGAATTCACATTATAAATAATAAATAACTTTAAGATGTGTTTGAAGTTCTTTTGAAATAGAATTCTCCCATTATGTAAAAACCTCCCTGAAGCTTCTATTTGTCATTTGAATATCTCTGAGTTTTTCATCTTTCAGGATTGGCAGCTATGATTTGTAAAGTAAATTGTCAGAGTTAAATTTAATTATAATTTTGAGGTTTTTAAAGCAGTTTTCTCTTTGTTCTTAATCCTTTGTGTGCTCATTAGATCTTTTAACTTTTTTAATGCATCTGTGTGACACTGATTGCATCATTATTTGTGGATTCACAGTTAGTCCAGTTGTGAAAAATATGCTATTGGCTCTAGAAAAGTTATAGCTTCTGTTTATTCTTTTATGCTTGGTATCCCAGTGGTTGAATTTTGTTTTCTTGTGCATACTGGTTTGAGTGATCAATTTTAGAGAATAACCTCCATACAAGTGAATTGTGTTCTTGATTAAATCATATGAACTGTTATTTCTAAAAGCTGGGGAGTTTGTTTTCCCATTATTACACAGGTTGTGTAACTGTAATGCTGATAAGGTAATAAATATTTTTCTTTGTTGGAGTTACTTAACTGAGAGAGAGACATAGGTGGATTTTACTGTAAGTAATCATTAAGGCCTTGTTAGATATAGAACTTATCATAAGCAATCTTACGTGCATAGAATTTGCAGTTTGTCCCTCTTTACAAAAATGCTTATCTTCAGATTCCAGTTTGTCCTTTATACAGTAGACGTGTGGGGTTAGTATTACCAAAGTATTATCGAATAAGTTTTTGAATTGAAGTAAAGTTTCTAAATAAGGGATAAAAGCGCTGGATAAGTTTAAAATAGATTATAAAAATTGCCAGCTGTCAGAAAAATGTTATCAAGTAGAGGATTATGTTGCCAAACAGTTTATTTCCAATTTTAGTCAATCATTTAAAATTCTGAAAAAAAAAAAAAAAAAAAAAAAAAAAAGTTAATCTTAGATTTGAATAACTCTATGATTTTGATGATAATCAGACATAGGTCCTTCTTTTTTTGCCTATTTTAAAATTTTATGCTTGCATGATCTCTTCCACTGAATGAGGGATGCCCTCTGGGTATTAAGATTAGCATTGGTCAAATAATTTCCAGAAATGTTCTGAACGGTTCATAAATGAACTGTTACATTAAAGACATTAGGAAGTGTTTATAAACAAATTTTTTTCATTTTCTTATCAAAATCCTGCAAAAGTACTTATTTTATGCTTGCTACATTTATATTAAATGGAATTTCATTGCTATTTTGAAGGATATTTTTTCTCAGTGTTTAACATTATTTTTTGGTTTATGTTATTGAAATAATCGCGGACAAATGTGATCACATGAACTGGCATCAACTATGTATAACAAGGGTGGCCAATGTGTGGTTCTTGCAGGTGATTGGTGCAGCTCTTATATAAATAAAACAGATGTATGAAATATGATAAACTAAAACTACACAATGTTCAAAAAGAAAGTAATTAATTCATTTCATTTCTTTCTACAAAATTATTAGTGAACTTAAACTGACCTATGTCCAAACATAATTATTTTACTTAATTTTAATAATGCTATTCAAAAGCATGAAAATAAATGAATAAAAATATTGCACTGATTCTATCAAACAGTTTTGTAAAGAAAACTTTTAAAAGGCTAGAATTGCTTGTGGATGCTATATAAACGGATGGATGCTTATGAATGTTTTACAGGAAGGGCCTGCTGAATTTTTGAATCGTTACTAAAACAGTACAAAGCCCGTAATCCAGACTCGTTGGGATTTCGGCAATTCCAGATTAGGGGTTTTTTCGGATTATAGATCATCAATTTAAATCTGGTAAGATGGCATGCAGAAATTATACAATTAAAAATATGAAACCGTAATTTATGAAATAAAGAGCAATTATGATGTAAAGGGTATCAAAATTTACAAAAAAAAGTTTAATATTTGTTTACTTTATTAAACATTTCTTTCAATGTAAGTTGCTTCGTTTTTTGTGCTAAACATGCATGCGTAAGCATTAAACGCGCATGTGTAAACGTATTACAAAAAAAAAAAAAAAAAAAAAAAGTTTGTGACTCGGATTATAGATCATTCCGGATAATGGACGTCTGGATTACAAACTTTGTACTGTAGTTGAAACTGACTAGGTATGATCTGTGAATGGAATAGAAAATGCATGTAATGTATCAGAAACATTTAATGGCATAGAAAATTTGATATAAAAAATTATAAGTTGTTTCAATGTCTGAATGAGAAACTTATGCCAATTTGAAACTTTGGAATTTCTAATTTATCTAATGACAGTCGCAGCTTAGAAGACAACATTATCTTTAGAAAATTTCGAGAATCTACATAGTCAAGTCAAAAATTATATACGCTTTTGTCATAACTTTTCTTATATTGCGCACTTTGTCTTCTGTCCTCGCATATTTTATTGTTATACTAAAAGTGGTATACTAATACTGTTGTGGTAATGCTGTGAAAGTTTGATCTTAATTCCTCAATTTTCTTCCTTCTATTGCAGATATATCATGGCTGCTCCATTAGAAGTATGCACCATAGAGGAACAACAAGCAGTGATCCGATTCCTCTGGTCAGAGGGTATCAAAGGGTCAGACATGTATAGGCGAATCACTTTCGATGAGGTAGCATCTGCTTTGAACATAAGTCATGGCTCTGCCCATCAAATCATCCACGATGAGCTCAGTTTTCAATAGATCATTCCGGATAATGTCTGTGCACAGTGGGTACCAAGAAAGCTTACTGCAGAACACAAACTCACTCATGGTAGGGTCTATCAACACTTTGTCAAAGCACCGTTTTACATGATCGTGCACTTCTCCCATATTGCGATGATAGTATGCGATGAATGTCTGAACCTTTGACATCTCCGATCAGAAGACCTGGATCACTGCTCGTTGTTCCTCTTTGGTGCAAACTTCTAATAGAGCAGCCATGATATATCTGCAACAGAAGGAAGAAAAATGGAGGAATTAAGATCAAACTTTTACAGCATTACCACAACAGTATAACAATAAAATATGTGAGGACAGAAGACAAAGTGCACAATGTAAGAAAAGTTATGACAAAGGTGTAGATAATTTTTGACTTGCCCTCGTATAAAATTTGAGGATGACAGATATATGGCTTGCTTGCAATGGAATGAGCATGCAAGGAAATCGCACGGTAATTTTGAGGCAACAAAAAAAAAAAAAAAAAAAAAAAAAAAAAAAAACACTTTGAATAGCTGTGGCTCAAATTTAGAAGAATCTGAAGTTTCAAGAGCATTATAAAGCTGTGATGAAGCAACATTTATTAGAAGGTATAGCAAAAGATTCAGGAGTATTTAAAAACTGAAAAATAAATAAAGCTGTAATTAAGAGAAAACAAAGACATCACAAAATTTTGTGTTATCTTGGATGCATCACCACATGTTAAAAGCAAATGCCTTTAATGATTGTTTAGAATCATATGTTTCTATTTGAAACTTGTGGTCATCACTTTTAAATGATGTAATATGAACGCTTAATGGAACTTGCATCTTCCTGTATTGGAGCATGCCGCTCTTGTTGACATGAAGTATGGAAATCAGTCATAAGCATCCAAATTTTAATGTGGAAAAAAAAATGAATGAAGTAACTTGTAGTTTCCCTGAACTTGATATTTTTCACATACTATTTTAAATAAAAGGAATAAAAAAGTTTAAGTTGGAAAGTTTATCTTCTTTGTTTAGACCTTTATGGAAACACAAATTCATGGCATTAAAAAATAAATAAATAAATAAATAAAACTAGAGAGATACATTTTTTTTTTCACTCTGGGATTTCACTCTTTAAAGAAAATAATATCCGAAAGATAACGAGACAGTGTGAGAATCCTGATAAGTTTTTTTTTTCAAAAATTCTAGCTGGTTATACAGCGAGCTATCTAAAAAAGGCACATATTTTCTTGTGTACTTTCCCTGTTTTTTTACTAATTTTATCATACGAAAATTGAGAAGGGAAAATTAAGTGAATAATTTTAATTTCTGAAGAATGTGGTTGCATTAAGAAATCAAATGTAAAGTAAGTATACATAATTAAAAATAGTAAACAATAAGATAAACTAAAACGTATAACGTAAAGTATCGTGGATAAATTAAAATAACTATCACAATATTATTTCTTTAAAAGAAACCTACATTCCAATATGAATATATGTACAGTCAATTGTTTTTAATCCGGACGTCCATAATCCAGAATGATCTATAATCCGGACCTCAAAGCTACAAACTTTTTGCGCATGCGTAAATGCATAATGTGTTTACGCATGTGCGTAACACCTTTACGTATGTACGTAATACATTTATGCATGCGCGTTGTATGTATAACGGATGGTATAAGCTAAGCTAAAATGATCTAATTATCTATTTCTGTTAACGTTGCAGATTGTGTTGTACCTTAATCTTCGAATTGGATCCGGCTTATTATTTTTTTCAGACTGTTAGCGCAATTTTATAAAAGTAAGCTTGAACTTTCGATTGTGTCAAAAAGAATTTCAGTTTCTGTAGCTGCCAAAGGATCTGCAAAGCGAAAGCATGTTTCGATGTCCATCAAATGAAAAGTGGAATTGCTGCAAAAAATGGATAAAGGCATATACTTTGTTTCTCTAACCATTCCGAAATCTGTTTATCAATTTCACGGTGCTCTGTGTGTGTGTGTGGGGGGGGGGACATTGCGGCGCACAATGAATTGGAAGTTGATTTGTCAGCACTATCCTTATCTTCAGGGCAGATGTTTTTATTTTATTCGGCTTATAATTCCTTGCTAAATGTAGTATTTCATCTCGAAGTACTCCGTCTTTAATATGATTTAAATCAAATTCCTCGTCATTATAAATATCATGAATACACATCAAATAGTTTTCTAGTTGCAATTTTCTAATTTCCATTATGCATAATGTATGCTTTACACATGCGCACGTTGAAAGAAATGTTTAATAAAGTAAACAAATAAATGTTAAGCTTTTTTTTGTAAATTTTGATATCCTTTAGATCATAATTTCTCCTTATTTCATAAATTATATTTTCATATTTTTAATTTTATAATTTCTGCATGTCATCTTACCAGATTTAAATTGATGATCTATAATCCGGAAAAACTGATAATCCGAATCGCCGAAGTCCCAACAAGTCCGGATTAAAGACTTTTGACTGTAATATTAACAGTACAATATCTATTAAAATATCTTCATTTCAGCTTCCTTGCAACTTGAATCTTATCTAATTAGAGAAGGGTAATTTGCAGCTGACTCAGCAAAATCGTAGCATGAATGTCTGTTCATGTTTTCATTGCTATGATTGGTCAGTTCTTGTGTTAGGCTGGCATAAAGTTCAACAATTAAAAGGGAAAGTTTTGACTTGACCTTGGCAGGTAATTTGCAATGCGTTGTCTTTGGAAAACAATCAATACATGCAGGAACCCATTTTAAAATGCATTGAGGAAAGGGAAAATTATATGAATAATTAAAAATTTTTAGAACCTGAAGCTAAAAAGCTAGAGGGGAAAGTATGGTATGTAATTATTTTACCAAGTCCAACTAGCGTAATTTCGTAGGTTCACCTAGTAATTAGTAACAAAACAGATTAGATATGAAAGAAAAATTGAATATCTTACACTTTGCCGAGTGGCAATATGTTGCTTTTTAGTCATGCAGTTTGTTAATCGAAAATTCCTTAAATTCACATAAAATATGAAAATAATGATAATAAAATTCAAAATTCTAGTTTTGAGGCGCACATTTAGATGACCAAATATTGACACCATATGTTCAATATTTGGTGGCTCAAAGGTATTTCTGCAGTAAGAGGAACATACATACATACATACATACATACATATAGATCTTTGGATATTTAATAATATAGACTTAACATCATTTATGAATTATAAAAACCTACTTGTCTATTCAAAGAAGATAAGTTTAAGAAAAATTATATTCTTATTTTATGCTGCACATTGCATGTACAATTACTGTGCTATAATTAGGTATATGACAAGCAGATTCAAAAATACATTAACTTGATGAATTATTAATACATGAGAAGGAACAGTTATTTCAATAACTGATTTTCTTAGGCATAGGATTTGAATCTTTTTTAAAGCAAAGTCTATAGGTTTATTGCTTGTATTTTTAATTAAGTATATGATCTGTTTAATACAAATTGTAACTGATTATTTGAAATGTATTAATGTTGCAATTTATTAGGTATTATTGGTTCCATAATTTATATTTTCCACTAAAAATGTTTTGAACAATTGTTGAGAAAAATTGTTCTAGATAAAGTTCTTTGTTGTTTTCTTTATATTGCTAAAAATAATTTCTTGTCGCATTTCAGTCCTATTTGTTTTGAAATCATATCTGAGGCTTATATGACGAAGTGCGGGCACACATTTTGGTAAGATTTTTTATTGTATAACTTCGGTCAATAAATGAATTAATAAATCTTGCTATCTGTAAATTGTGCATGTAGCACCATTTTATGATAAATTTATTAATTGATTAAATAATAAAGTGTTATTACCATTATGCAAAGATATGGTAATTCTAATTATTAACGTTTCTGAATATATATTACAGTATTAAAAAAGATGATTCTTTGAATTAATGCGAACAGTACTGTAAATATGTTGATACTCTTTTCTAATGTGTTTATTTTTTAATATGTATATATATTTCAGCCACAAATGTATAGTAACCAGTTTGGAGTACAACAAAAGGTGTCCTAAGTGTAATTTTGCTATTGAAAGTATTGATGAAATATTTCCAAACTTTCTTTGTGAGTGAATTTTTAAAATAATTTTTAATGTGTTTACTCTTTATAATTAAAAGCATTTTTCAAATTTTTAAGTTAAAAAATTTTTTTGTTTGTTACAATTTTTATTTGTTAAATAAATGCCTTTTATATTATTTTTATTTGCATTTTCCTGTAGTAATTTTTCTGACTACCTAAAATTTCAATCTTAGCGACCAATCTTATTTTCCGCTATTCATAAAAAGCTTAATGTCTGAAATAAAAGTATTTGATCTTATCCTTTATAATTTATGAAATGAATTAGTTTTTAAAATTTATTACTTTTTTGGAAAAAATAAAAATTTTAAACTTAAGCTCTTATTTGTTCATGTAAATTACCTTGCTTTTTTTTTCATTTCTTTTTATTTTTCAGTAAACGAGCTTATAACAAAGCACCAGAGGAAAACGTCCGAGAAAAAACTGAAATATGCTTCATCTGTAAGACCTCATTCATTGTTTTATACTGATATGAAAAACTATTTTTTGTAAAATAGTGTGGATTAATACAAAAGTAATAACAAAGAATTGTTACGAAATTATCTATACCTAAACTGGTTTTATTGATTTCTAAACTTCTGATTAAAAAAAGGAATATTTTTCTTATTTGAAATAAAAGTTTATTTTTAAATATATCTGATTTCCAGAAATATTTGAATTTTGTGTTTAAAGTATGCAAGTTTTGAAATTTTATGTTATACATCAGTAGCAATTTACTTAGCATGTACAAGAAGTATGATATACAGTCAAACCCTTCTTTAATGAACCTGGTTGAATATTTTGATCCCATCCAGTTTCTTTTACATCTAATATTAGTTTATACTGTTATAGTGAAACTTCAAGAATATGAAAATCACAATTAATGAACTGTATGAATATCTTTGATTGAAATCCTTTTTTTTTTTTTTTTAATTTTTTAATTTTTTTTATTTTTCATATTTCTTTTAGAATTTCTATACATTTTAACAAAAGTTTACTAAACACTTTTATGTTATTTTTCTTTCATCTTCACTTCCAATTTTCTCTGTGTTCTAAATAAGTTTATATAAGACAGGTGGGACAACCAGCTCTAGAATAATTAGGACACAATAAGGATATCTTAGAATGCCACATGGTGTACATGACCATTGAACCAAAAAATGTGAAGTGTTATCTTATTCCATTCACATTCTTTGATTGAGCTGCCAGTGAAGATTCTTTCAATTTTTTCTATAGTGAAAATTTTGAAACTTTCCCCATTTTTTAAGAGAAAAAGTAGTGAATCTTACGAGCATGCAGTTTTTCTATTAATTCTTCTTTTAGGAAATAAGAAGTTTTGATCCTTATTTATTTGTTTTGTTTGAGTATAAATGCTCTCCTTTCCTTTAAATAGAGGTTTTACATCTTTTAGATCTTTTGTAAGATGTAAGATAATCTTTATAAAGGTTAAGGACATAAAAAAAATAAATCTTTATAAAGGTTATGTTTTGACTTTATTTTTTGGGAAATGATTGGTGTTCTCAATGGATGTTGAATAAAAAGCATTCATTAAATGTAATAGGTGATGAAATTATCTTCCTTTTTCATATTTTCCCAAAGAGCAAAATTCTGATATATTCTTTATCAAATTCTCTGCACTCTTGTTTCTGTACAAAAAATTCACTTACATCATTAATTGTAAATTATGTCATATTGTAAATATTACAATTGTTATGTAAATGTCATATTGTATAATATTACAATGTTATTAACTGTAAATTGCCCACATCATTATGCCATGTTATATATTGAAGATAACATGAACATTATTTAAAAATTACAAAAATTGATGCACCCAAATTTATGTCTTCCAGAAACACAGTTTATCCAAATCTACAGTTGGTACCATATAAAAAAGTCAAAACTCTATCATTTCTGTTCATTAAAAAAAATTGGATGTGAGGAAAAAATTGATAAAGCTAGAGCATAAGGATGTTGAAACATTGCCTGAAGTGTTTCACCATCCAAAGAAGCTTTAATATGCCAATGAGAAATGCATTTTTCAGACATTTTCTTTGGAAAGACTGGGAAAGATTGAACAATAAAAATAATACTAATTGCAATTAAATCTTAATATATATACTTTTTAAAATTAGGTTAACTCAAGATTACTTAACTTTTGATTTTAATTTGGCTGTGTGCCCTTCCAAGAATCTTAAGCTGCATCATATCTGAAAACTAATCCACATTATGCCATCTTATCATACTGCATTGAAGATTGCCCTCATCCAGTCGTACAGCTCAAAATTTAAACAAACAAACAAATCTTTAAATACCGCTATTGCTGTTGCTCAGGCCGTTTTGTTGTTCTCACTTTGCTGCTTAGATGCATGCTTGCTGCTCTACTTTGTTTCCATTATTAGAGAGTGCAAGCTTCCAAAATAATGCAGGTTTATATTATGCCAATCCTGATATGTGAACTTATTTAATTATAAAAACTGTGTGTGAAATGCCACCTTTGCTGAAATTTTTCTTCTGCGTTATTATGTCACTTATGGATCTATGTTATTTTCTAATCTTCAGGTCATCTCCACAGAAATTATTACATATATATTTATATTCATAAATATTTAATTTAGTTTTGAAGTTAAAAGTTTTGTAATCATTTTGTGAATGTATCTAGAAATATTATAAAAATTGTGAACAAAGTGTTAACTATGATAAATTTTCTTACATTTTATATTTAGGAATCCGTTAGTGTTTCTGAGTTACAGCATTTTCTATCATATGAAAAGTCAAATTTAACCATTGAGGATGTAAACAGTATGCTGGAAATTTTGGCCCAAAAAAAGCAACAACTTGAAGCAGTAAGTATAGTTTATTTCTAAAACTATTTTATATCACAATTTTTAGAATTCCTCTTTTTCATGTACCTTATAATATTACCTTCCTCGAATTGCATGTAATTTATTTTTAGAATTACTTATCTAATAAATTTATTTGTGCCTTCCTTTTTTGTTAGTTTCAAAATTTTTAAACAACTGTTATTTAAGTCAGATCATAATCCCAAAGACTGGATACTTTTGAAATACATCTCATACGTGTAAGGTTTCATTGGAGCTAAACCTTGTTAAAGAGATGGAGTAATTCTGTTTTCAAATTTAATCTATAATTTTTGTATCATAGATAATAAAAGCATGGGACACTGTATTGATAAATTTATAATGGCTTATATTTTTTATAACAAATTTAGTTAATAGATTTTGTTTAGGCACTCATGCTTTTATTATTTGTGATATAAAATTGTAGTACATTTTGTAAAGACAATTATTTAATCTTTTGCTCCCATTAAACTATACAGTAAATTATTTTTCTCCTTTTTGCTCATTAGTTTTTTTATGAGTTTTCAAATAAAACCTCATTTTATAAAAACTTTTTCCTTATGTTTTTGTCTCAATGACACATTATCAATCAAATTATTCAATTGAAAAATAATTTTTTAATAATGAATAATCACTGTTTTATTTCCAAGAGTTCTGTCGTCAAATTATTAATGATGCCAGTTATATCAAATGATTGAAAAATTTCCAGTAGATTTGCCCAAAACTCTGAAATTACATTAAAATTCCATGTAACCTTCATTTAAAAGATTTTTTTTCTGCTCTGTCCAATAGTGCAAAGAATAAAATTCTAACAGTTTTAGTTTTTTCATTAAGTGAAGATCTATGCAGAAAATCATTTCAACATTAAATTTTTAAATTTTGAAATTGCTTCACCACATTATATTGCCATTCATTCACTATGAGTATGTATGTATGTAAAATTTGAGCTTGATAGCATATCAGAGAATAGTTTAAAAGTGGAAGGCAACGTTTACCATAGTGACAAACATTAGGCACGAGGTAAATAAAAGCTTAAAAAAAAAGTAGCCTGTTTTTAAAACAATTCTGAAAAGTCTTCTAATATTTTTTAAATATAATATCATTTTGGAAGAGGATGAGATGAGAGTATTTTATAACCTTAGAAAATTTCAAATCTTCATTACAGGCAACATAATTTTAACATATTAGAATTTTAAAATTCCGTAAAAATGGAATATTGCATAAAACAATAAAATTAAGAAAATCAACTTTTTAAAAAATGAGAAAAATGTATATAAATTTATGAAATGGGAAATAGATTTCTTTGCAGATAATTTTAAATGCTAATCAATAGCTTATTTATTTGGATTATTCTGAAAAATATATATATGGATGGTGGAAAAATAGTATGATGTAATAACATCATAATCTTGAACTGAGAAGCAATACTTTTCCTTCTATTTCATATCGTAGTGTATTTAAAAAATATGGAAAATCAGCCAATTAATATCTTTTTATTTTTGTTCCCGTAATAGAGGATGAAGAGTTCATTTTATAATCTGTAAAAATATCAAAAGCTTATAAACCTATGCAATTTTAGAAGTTGAAGTTTTAAAATCATTAACTTCAAATAGTTTAAAAAAATTGAAAATTTGTTAAAAATTCAAAAATTACATTAAAAATTTTTTTACAGATTTCATTAAAAATACTTTTCTTGCACTATCCAGTAGTACAAACAGTAAATTACTGAGATATTTAGTTTGTTTCTTAAATGAAGATATATATGAAAAATTATTTCAGCATTACATAAAAAAATACATATGTAAATTGAATCTTAAAAAAAAAAATGCTTTGCCAAATTGTATTCTCATCTACAAACAGAATGTGTACACAATTTGAATTCAATATCTTACAGTTTAAAAATCAGTAAAATCTTTTGACTATAAGTGACAAACACCATGAGTGAACTAAATAAGAGGTCATGAAAATAAAGTAATTATTCTTTGTAGCAGCACATAAAAAATGAATCTGTTTACATTCGAGACAGATTCATTTTATAATTATTAATCCATTCAAGACAGCACATAGTAATCTATTCCAGACAGATTGCACACTATGTGTGCAATGCTTTTCCAAGCCAAAAAGAGAGTGGCACACCATGTGTATAATGATACTGAATTGCAGTTATCGGTCAGCATGGAAAAATCAGCTTTCGGGATAAGATGGTTTAAAATAAAAAAGTTTCTTAGAAGTATGTAAGCATAAAATTTGGCATTGGTTTCAATTTAGTCCCTAAAATGAGTGATCTAAACCCAGGATCATCAGGAATGCAGAAAATGAGCAGTGATAGTGAAAGTGGTGATTTATTGCTTGCAGGCAATAGGAAAAAAGAACCAGAGAGTTTTTATTATGATAGTGATCAGGAACACGAGAAAGACATGGATTTGAATATAGAGCTGTTAGATGATACACTTGATGAGATTTTTGAGAGAAGTAAATTGAAGAGCATGAAACTGAAGTTAGTGAAGATACTAAGAAATAGGCAGATGACAGGATGACAGTGACAGGGGAAAAAAAAAAAAAAAAACTTTTGAGGGTTACCTGGGTCTTCAAAAGTTATCTAAAGGATATATCTAAAGGATTCATATAAAAAAAAAAAAAAAGTTAAGGGTCGTCATTCCAGGAAAATTTCTTGCCTTTGTACTGTTTCATAAAAAAGTATTTGTGAATTATATTCTTTTTTTCATTACTGAACCTAAAATAATGATTTCATGTTATCTGACTGTTTCTGGAATAAATGCTTATTCCATTATAATGATGTCTTTTTATTTTATTTGCATTGTACACATGATGTTCAATCATCTTATTTGTATGAAGTGAGTTATGAAGTGATGGATTACTGAAGTTTTTTTTTTTTTTTTTTTTTTTTAAACTAAAAATGATTAGTATAAGGCAAAAACAAATTTTGGCTTCTGGGAATAATCTTCCCCCCAAAAAAATTATGCAGTCTTGAATGAGTTAATACAGTAAAACAGAATTTCAACAAATCATGACTGATTAATCCTTGAATGCATGTGGTTTGCCTTTCTTTTTGAATGTAAACAAGTAAAATTTTAATTTCCAGAAAACTAAACATTGTAACTTTACCAACACGTTTCCTCTTATATGGAAATAATTTTTTTAACAAAAAATACTGTATTTTTAATACATTTTTGTAGTCGAAGAGCTATTTCACACACCAGGCAGGTTTGTCTATACTGGTGATGAATAAGGATACATTTATTAAATGTAGCAATTTTCTACCATCAAAAGTAAAAGAAATGGTGAAGAAAATTGGGCTAAAGAACATTAATAAATCCAAAATTTCAGCTCAAACCCTCTTTATTAACTCAAATAGTGTTATTTATCTAATTGCAAATGTGCAAAACATGATGTTTAGAACAATTCAAGTAAACAAAATTGGCAGAGGGATACAATTTGAGAAAAACTTTACAGCAGGATGTTTTATGAACAGAATATTTGTTTACTTATTTTTTGTTTAAGAGTGTAAAAATTGTTCTCAGTAAAATTTTGCTAGTGAATGTATTAGTTCTTTTATGTAAAATAATTCTTTACTTCCTCAGAATATTTCTTTCCTTTCTACATTACATTCACTCTCTTATACTGGTGTTATTTTTTTACATTTGTAATTGTATTAAAAATGCAGTAATTTGGTACTTATTATGCCTTGATTAAGTAATTCTTAAGTAGTGGGTAAGTTTTGGTTAATTATTTATGTGCAGACAATCCAGATTTAGTGTATTAATTGGAACAGCAGAAATGCAAACTGCAAAAACTTGACCTGTAATCTGTAAAGTTATTCACCCTGTAGAACTGATTACAGTCAAAAGTCTTTAATCCGGACTTGTCGCGACTTCGACGATTCCGGATTATCGGTTTTTCCGGATTATAGATCATCAGTTTAAATCTGGTAAGATGGTATGCAGAAATTAATTAAAAATATTCAACCGTAATTTATGAAATAAAGAGCAATTATGATCTAAAGGGTATCAAAATTTACAAAAAAAAAAAAAAAGCTTGTTTACTTTATTAAATATTTCTTTCAACACGTGCATGCGTAAAGCATACATTGCATAGTCGAAATTAGAGAATTGCAACCAGAAAACTATTTTATGTGTCTTCGTCATATTTATAATGACGAGGAATTTGATTTAAATCATATCAATGACGGAGTACATCGAGATGAAATACTACATTTAGTAAGGAATTAAAAGCCGAATAAAATAAAAACATCTGCTCTGAAGATAAGGATAGTGCTGACAGATCAACTTCCAGTTCATTGTGCGCCGCAACGTTTCACCCCCCCTCCCCCCGCAGAGCAGCGTGAAATTGATAAACAGATTTCGGAATTGTTAGAGAAACAAAGGGATTTCATTTTTTCCTTTATGCACCAGTCTCATACATTACGTTCTGTAAGTATTCAAGTTTTCTTTTATCTTTCTATTGTTTAATATTTTCCCTATCTTTTTTGAAAATGAAATCTCAGGATTCAACATTTAGTAAAGAAACAATGATAACTTTTCTTGCGTCAGTGTGCCATTTACACTGCACTAGTGCTGTCATGCTGGAAACATTTATGTTGGCATTTAATATGTTTCATATGGAAATCAGCAGTTTCCATTTATTTTTGCAGCAATTCCATTTTTTGTTTGATGGACATCGAAACATGCTTTCGCTTTGTCGATCCTTTGGCAGCTCAAGAATCAGAAATTCTTTTGACATAATCAAAAGTTCAAGCTTACTTTCAAGCTTACAAGTATAAAATTGCGCTAATGGTCTGCAAAAAATAATAATCCGGATCCAATTAGAAGATTAAGGAACAACGCGATCTGCAACATTAACTGAAATAGATAATTAGATAATTTTAGCTTAGCTTATACCGTCCATTATACATTAAACGTGCATGCGTAAATGTATTATGCGCATGCGTAAATGCATGTGCGCATGGGTAAAGGTATTAAGCACATGCGTAGACGCATTATGTGTTTATGCATGCGCAGAAAGTTTGTAGCTTTGAGGTCCGGATTATAGATCATTCCGGATTATGGACGTCCGGATTAAAGACTTTTGACTGTATTAATTATTTCTATAGCTTATGTTTGGAAAATATTTTGAGTTGTAGTGTTGCTGTTTTTAATTTTGTGTGCTTATAAATTGTAGACTCTTTGATATTTGCATTGGTTTTTTATCATTTCTAAATCAAAAGTTACGATAAGGAACAACGTATCCTATTTTATCCATATTTTAAGTAAGGGTATATTTCAGGATTGTAGGGAAACTCAGTTACTTCTTCTGAAAGAATTCTTACAAAAAGTTAGATCTCACAAGAAAGATGTAAGTAAATGTGACTTTTGTTTTTCATGCTATTTAATGTAACTGTATTTTTATGTATTTTATATCATGGTGTGGTGTCTGTTTTAGGAATTAAGGCAACTTCAGCAGCAAGTTAATGTAATTGATGCTGATATGCGACTTGTAGAGGTAAGCATAATAATGCATTTAGAAGGCTTTAAAAAGTACCACAAACGACAGAATTATTAGTTTGCTAATCTAATGTTTTATTTCAATGACTATCATCTGAATGATGAATAATGACATTTGGAGACTGGCTTGTCTAATGTTTAAACATTTTAAAGTATAAGAAAACTTATAAGTTGTCTTGTATAAACATAGAATAATAATACTCTGGTAAAAATATCCCCTCCCCCTTTTTTAAAAATTATTTTAAGTATTACAAATAGATTGAATAAATATTTTATTGGTTTCTGTTTATTTTTTCCAGGAAATGCACCAGTCTCATACATTACGTTCTGTAAGTATTCAAGTTTTCTTTTATCTTTCTATTGTTTAATATTTTCCCTATCTTTTTTGAAAATGAAATCTCAGGATTCAACATTTAGTTAAAGAAACAATGATAACTTTTCTTGCGTCAGTGTGCCATTTACACTGCACTAGTGCTGTCATGCTGGAAACATTTATGTTGGCATTTAATATGTTTCATATGGAAATCAGCAGTTTCCATTTATTTTCCAGAGTATACATTTGAAAAATACAGTATTCTGAAATCCAGTGAATCAGATAGTCTCATATTTATTAATATGTTTCCTTTTATGTATATTGATTTATGTCAGAGTAAAGTTTTCAAAAATGTAACTTTCTATTACAAAGTATATTACGAAGAAACTTACAATGTTGTAATATTTCAAGTGAAGTCTTGATATTTTTCTTAATTTTTTATTGGTTTATGTGCTTATTGATCCTAATTAATCAGTAGCTTATAGTAAGAAATTATTGATAATGATGCATTTAAATTTTATTATACTTATCTACACAGTTTTGACATTTAAATTTGAAAAAAAATCATTTCAGCTCAATACCATAGGGCATTCAAGTGGAGTTCATTTAAAATCCGAGCCAACAACTTCAAAGGCTTGTACTTATAGTTCTTGTGTTTCAAATCTCCCAAAACAGGATGGATTCAATGGCAGTAAATATGTGAGTTCTTACAGAATTATGCTATTTTTCTTTGCTGAGTTATGTGTCTTAAGTTTTTATCCTTTGCATACATCATTTAGGATTTTATACAAAGATTCTATTTTACTTTTGTTAAAACGTACAGTTATAATTATTTTAATGTTTTTGTCAAATTCAAAATTTTTTAAAACTGAAATATAGTTTTTTTTTTTTTTTCTTTTTTGAATCTTTGTAAGTTGTATTAAAAAAAAAAACTGTTGTTGCAATGTCAAATCTGCTTCAAACCATGAATGATCCTTCTTGAACAGTTCATTTGCAATACCATGTACCAATATTAGTCCCAATATTATTCTCCTCAGAGAACATATGCTTGGCCTGCACAATATTTTTCATGCTCCTAACTATATGATTCATCGTCTTGATAGCTGGAATGCAGGTGGACTTGCTAATGGTGGAAATGCTCATGGAGGCCTGCTGCTATTAGCTCCATTCCTTTTTATCCCATAACATTTCTACAGCTTTCAGATTAGAAACACTAGCTATTACAGTCATACCACCCAACTCAAGTACATTCACTATTCACATGTATCCCATCCAGGAATTCTGTGGGAGTTTCATCTAAACATATGCAATCTCTGTTAAACATAAACAATCGTGTTGTCATTGATGGAGATTTTAACACTTGCCACAGATCTTGGAACTGTTCTACACAAAACAGATACAGCAAATTAATACATGACTTTGCCAGTAAGGCTAATGTGACTATTGCAGCTCCAAGCTACTCAGCATACTGCAATAGTACTGGTACTCCTGGCATTCTAGATTTTCTCTTGTTGAAGAATATTACTGCTCTAACTTGAGCAGTAATATTCTTCAACAAGATGATTGAAAGCATCAACGAGCTCTCATCTGATTATAACCCTGTTATTGTTGAATTTATTAGTGGCAACTATAGTATATCATACAAAAGAGCCTTTTCAAAGCTCTAAAGAACACCTAGCACATTCTACCCATGATACATATGAGGAATGAGGCGATTTAACTAATGAATTCACAGAGGAACTTCAAACTGCATTCCATAGAAAGAGAAAGTCCCAGCTAAGACAAGATTAATCTTCCAGCACGCGCACTTTGCAATTTTACATGAGCATGCGCACGTCTTATTTTTTACGACATCCGTTATTTTACCGTTTTTGGCATGAAAAATGACAGAAGTGAGTGGTTAAGAAATAAATAAATTAGTTAAGAGATAAAATATTAATCTTATTATTGCAAAATACAAATGATATCACATTCAAATGTAAGTAAATTATTTTTAAGTTCTTATGTTAGTGAGATGGAAATGCAATGATGTATTTCATTATAGAAAATTTTAAACTTATTATTTAATAATTATATTTTAAAATCGAAGCTAATTTTAATATTCATCAAAGAATATATAGACAATAAAAAAGGAAAACACAATGGTAGGAAAAAATGTAAGTTTAGCATTAGTTTCTTCTGCAAGGAAATTTACTTCTTACTGGTTACAAAAACACACTTTAAACTATAATGTTTTTATTTATTTCTAAAAAATAGAAATAAAAGAAAATAAGGAGTGGAAATCGCTATTTTTCTTCCATCCAAAGGTTTTGTCTTCCTTTTCTTCATCAGGTAATCCGAGAAGAATCTGAGGAAAATCAGCTAGTTGCACATATTTTTTTGCCATGAAAACTGATATAAAATTTACAGAACCAAATGTATTCAAATTAAAATAATACACGGCAATTAATAACACAAAATTACAAAATATTTGAGGAAAAAAAATATTTTCTGAATTTGAAAACACGACCACGCGCATGTCGTAACTTTTATGAAAAAGCTGCCATGTAGCACAAAAGCCCAGTTAAAAAAAAGTCAAAGGACATCCTGTTGGCACATTCCATGATGTGGGGAAGGGTAGAAAGGAGGACTGGAAATGATCTTCAGACGTCTCAGTTTCGATATGCGGAAAATGTGCATTAAAAACTGAATTTGTCATAAGTTTTGTACATATGCGCATGCTGGAAGGTTAAAAAACCCTGCTATCAGAGAATTTATTAAACAGAGAAACAGAGCATTTAAAATCTGGCAACAATCTGCTGTTATGATAAACGCGTGATGAACCATCATAATTATGAAATCCCTTATTAAAAAATATGCACAACTTGACTGGACCAGATACTTAGAATCACTCTCCACTGATAATAATTCTATCTGGGGTGTTGTTTCTAAGTATAAAAGGTGTTACACCAATATTCCACCCCTTAACGGCCTTAATGGTACTACCTACACTGAAACTGAGAAAGCTGAGTCACTAGTGTATAACTATGCTTTTCAGTTTGGCATTAACATCACCTGTCACCCTCAAACAGAGTATATTGTTAATAGCACAGTTACCCAATTCCTAACACAACCAATAATGAACAACATTTTCCTTGGTTATGCCATCAGAAGTTAAATGTTAAGTTCAGAAACGCAGAATCAAGAAAAGTCCTGGATTGGATAACATCAGTATGAAAATGATTAAAGAAATGGGCACCTTCATGTTATTAAAAAAGTGTACCAATATTATTACTGCTGTACTCCAACTTCAGCACTTCCCAGAGCAATGGAAAATGGCAATAATCACACCAGTCTCGAAGCTTGGAAAGGATCCTACTGAACCTTCTTCCTGTAGACCTATCAATGTTTTCTCCAGACTGAGCAAGATCGCTGAAGCTGTTTTTGTCGTTCGCTATAACAATTATAACTCTACATGCCTTCAAATTCATGGGGATGCTCCCAAGGAAGTGTGATTGGCCTCATATTATTTTCGATTTATGCGAACGACATATTACACAGCACTAACACTACACTGGCTATGTATGCCAATTATAGGGCCGTTCTGACTCAAAACACATCCCAAGCTTTAAAATGTTAGCCGTAATTTGTTATCAACTTACTCACCTATTACACGCTGGATCGGACATTGTCCTGGAGCCTGGAACATGTGACACCTGAATCATTTGGAATAACATGGTGGAGGTTTTTTGTTAATATGAATGGGATCCAGTGAAGATGTTAAAATAATCTTAAGTTATTTAAATAACACCCAGCAATAATTTAAAAATTAAATTTTTGTCATTGAAAAAATACCTTTTTATCTAAAATTAAAAGTTATGTATTGGTTGGCAATTTTTATATAGTCATTATGCCAGCCAGTTTTGGTGTTTATTATTAAGATTTTAAGTTAAGGCATTTTGCCATGCATATCAAGCTAAACTCGTTTTAAAATTCAAAATAAATTAAACAACTTTTAGGCATGTTTGTTAACATAGTATGCAGGCATATATGTGCACATTCATTTTCCTTAAGTTTGAGAATTTTTTTTATTTATTTTTTATTTTGTTTGCATATGTCAAATCTTTTGGAGCATTTAAGAATTTCAGATCCTAAAATGAGATGATGTTTCAAGTTTTTGTTTCACGGTCTTCTTGTATTAAGTTTGTTAATTTGTGTTATGACTTGCTTATATGCTAGTTTGCTAAATAGGTTTCTCCCATTTGTAACAAATAAGAGTCATTTCTTCTAAAAGAAATGAAAAATTCTATGAGAAATTTTGTCATAGTAGGTGCATTTTATAATTTAGTAACCAACTTGTCGATTACAATGTTTTATGAACTAACATTCTGGAATTACCTGTGAATAAAAGCATTTTAAAAATAAGCATTTTTAGTTTATCTTTTGCATATAGTGTATAGTCTTTTATGTATTTATTATTTGCATAAAGAATATTTTTTGTTTGGACTGTGAAATTATAAAAGTATCATGTTGCAAATAACTCATGGCTTTATCAACAATAGATCTTAACTACATGGGTTATAAAATATTTACAATATGCTATTACTAACTTAAAATACCCATATTTTGCTTATTTATTTATTATGTGACTTTTTAAAAATATAATTTATGTGAACTCAAACTTTCTTGTTTAAAATGGTAGATAAGAAATTTTATTGATAATGGATTACCTATGAATATGGTAATAAAATTTTGCATATATTATTGCTACTATATTTTATGTATGACTCGAGGAAGAAAGTGAAAATAAAAGAGTTTTAGAGACATTAGGTATTTTTTGGAAGCAGGCAAGATGAAAAATAAGCAACGCCTTCGCCAGGAATCGAAACGCGGACCTCTGGAATACGTGCCCAGCCTGCAGACCACCACACCAGGAAGGCATGCAAAGAAGGTGGGAAAAATACCTTATATACTCCCCCTTTTAAAGGGCGATTGAGGTTTTTAGGGGACCCAACTACTAAATCCTGGGTGTGGAGAATCATCATCAAACATCCTTTTATTTCAGGCACCACTCTAGAGATATTATGTATTTTTGAAAGCAGGCAAGATGAAAAATGAGCAACTCCTTTGCCGAGAATCGAACCGCGGACCTCTGGAATATGCGCCCAGCGTGCACACCAGCACACCACGAAGGCATGCCAAGAAGACAGGAGAAATACCTTATAACTGTTATTTTTTCTTTCTTTCTTTCTTTCTTTTTAAATAAAGTTTATTAAATGACATTCACTTTTTAATTCATCTTGTCACTGAATAAAATCTTGATAATTATTTTGACTTTTTTTAAATTAAAAATTTGGAAGTATCACAGTTGTATAATTTTCCAGATATATATATGTTATCACTATATATCACTATACACACACATACATAGATAGATATATATATCACTATATATCACTATACACACACATACATATATATATATATATATATATATATGTATGTATGTGTAAGATTACCCTCAATAAGAACTCAATTAACTAACTATCAGTAAACTAGTTTATTTTACTAATATGAAATAAAATGAATGAAAAGATGGATTAAGGTGAAAGTTAACATTACATTTCGTAACCTCACAACTGAGTCCAAACAGGAATCATGCAATGATGCACATTTCTCACACATTATCAGTCTCTAACAGTTCTACAGGCACATAGGTTCATGCCTTGAGTGAATCTATTCTCATCCATCCATGGCTAGCTATGTCCAATATGATCAGCTTGGCTACAAGGAACTTGAGATATTAAAGAAACATATCTTGTTTCCCACTAACTTTTATGCAAGGATATGCAAGCCGTCTGCTTGCCTCCACTCCTTTCCACGTCTGGAAGCTATTTGGGCATTGTCTCGATTGCTCCACACTATGCTAATCTGCGATGACATTAGCTTGCTAGGTATTTGCTAATTCAGTAGGCGTCGATTAATCTACCTCCACACATATCCAGAGGTCCATACATGTTATGGAGACCCTAGTGTACAGTATATGAAAACATGGTAAAGTATTCTTAAAAAAAATTTCATTTTAGTGTAATACATCATCTGAATTCAATAAAGAAATTTTTTCATTATTGCATAAAAATTTTGTTATCTTTATACTTATATAATTCAAAAATTTAGAGAATCTTTATTCTTTAGGTTAATAAATTTCATAATGTGCCATCATTAGCTTCCAGACGAAAACGAATGCATGAACATTTTTCTGATCTTGAACAGAGTTACCTGAATTTACGTTGTAAAGGTTTAGTGTTTTCTTCATGTGGTGAGTAATTTTAATCTGGTGATTGATTATTTTAACTTTTGTAATGTCCTTATAACTATCATAGGGTTTGTTGCTTTAATTTATATATGAATGTAATATTTAAAATTATTATTTGGTTTCATGTGATGTTCATGTATATCTTAATTTCTTATTTAATGTGTTTTGACTTTACCATTAAAGTAACATATTGTTAAGATGTAACTTACTTAAAAAATAATATTGACTTATGGTAAATTTTAAATTAATAATTTTTAAAAGGATTTTTTAATTTAAAAATAAAACTAATATTTTTCCCTTAAGTTGATGTAAAAGCTTTCCGTACTGTGAAATTATTAGAAAGTGAAAAAAAAAAAAGGTTTACTAATATTTCTAATGTTTATTTATAGTTATGTTATTGATATTATAATGTTCTTGCTATGCATTTTAAAAACTTCATGCATATGGTAAAATATTTCAATCTTAAGATGCTTATTTTGTTATTAAGGTGATGTATCAAGGTCTGGTTTAGATGATTTTGATGAGAGTTTATCAAAATTTACCCGATTTAGTTTTGTAAGACCATTGGCTACTTTAAATTATGCCAACGATCACTTCAACAGTTCCAATATAGTCTCTAGGTAAGTAGCTTTCTTTTAACAATCAATGCAATATTTATATTTTATTTATAACTAATTTTTATGTGTACTTTTTGTTATAGCATTGAATTTGATAAAGATAATGAATATTTTGCTATTGCTGGAGTCACAAAGAAAATTAAAGTATGTATCAAACAGCCTGCTTCCTTTATGTTGTTTATTTTAAGAACTCTCTACATAAAATTTATATATGTTTCTTATTTTTTAAAATAATTGTAATTATTTTTTTATTATATGTGATTTCAAGAAGAGATTTTAGATATACAGTACAAAGTCTGTAATCCTGACTCGTTGGGACTTTGGCGATTCCGGATTAGGGGTTTTTCTGTATTATAGATCATCAATTTAAATCTGGTATGATGGCATGCAGAAATTATGCTATTAAAAATATGAAACCGTAGTTTATGAAATAAAAAGCAATTATGATCTAAAGGGTATTAAATTTTACAAAGAAAAAGGCTTAATATTTATTTGTTTACTTTATTAAACATTTCTTTCAATGCGCGCATGCGTAAAGCATATGCACGTAATGTATGTGCATTCTCTACGTGCATGCGTAAAGTTTGTGACTTTGAGGTCCGAATTATAGATCATTCTGGATAATAGACGTCTGGTTTACGGACTTTGTACTGTATATTATTTCAGTTATTACTTCATGGTTTCCTTGTATGCAATTTAAAGCCCCATCAGTGTCGTGGAAAATTTTTATGCAATGCATCTCCCCTTTTTTTAATACAGAGCCTTGTAGTTCCATAAGCAACACTAACCAGTACCAACTAATCATTTTTAACCATTTTTTCTTTTTATGATTTTTCAGAATTTATGCTTAATAGTTATTATTTTCTGGATGGATGTCATTTCCTTTTATCATATATCATAAAGATAGTTTTAATTTCATAATTTATTTTTAAAGATTCTAAATAATAAATACTAAGCTGTAAAAAAGAACTGTTGAAACATTTTGTCTGGGCCAATTGATTCATAAATTTCCTAATTTTTAAGCAATGTTTAAAGTTCTACTTTGTATTTTATTAATGTCAAGGAAGATTTTAAGGTGTGTGTGCATGCACATCACACATACACACACATATATGTGATGATTTGGGAATGATACAAATAAATGTTGAAGCATACATAGATTCAGCATGAAGGAGAAACTTGCAAGTCATATAGATGCAATAAGCTGCAGTTGTAGCAGATTTAAATCATATTTCTTTTATTAAAAAGTTATTTGTTCAAGCATTTTGCAATCACAAATACATTACACATTGTGTCCTTTCCAGAAAGTTGCATTTTGTATATTATTTGGCAGAAGGGAAAGCAGCAAGCAGCAGTTTTTGCAGTAATAGAGGTAAAAAAGTACAGTCAAAAGTCTTTAATCCGGACTCGTCGGGACTTCGGCGATTCCGGATTATCAATTTTTCCGGATTATAGATCATCAATTTAAATCTGGTAAAATGGCATGCAGAAATTATATAATTAAAAATATGAAACCGTAATTTATAAAATAATGAGCAATTATGATCTAAAGGGTATCAAAATTTACAAAAAAAGAAGCTTAATATTTATTTGTTTACTTTATTAAACATTTCTTTCAACGCGCGCATGCGTAAAGCATACCTTACGCATAGCCGAAATTAGAAAATTGCAACCAGAAAACTGTTTGATTTGTATTCGTGATATTTATAATGACGAGGAATTTGATTTAAATCATATCAAAGACGGAGTACATCAAGATTAAATACTACATTTAGTAAGGAATTATAAGCCGAATAAAATAAAAACATCTGCCCCGAAGATAACGATAGTGCTGACAGATCAACTTCCAGTTCATTGCGCAGCGCAACTTCCCCCCCTCCCCCCGCGCAGAGCAGCGTGAAATTGATAAACAGATTTCAGAACGGTTAGATAAACAAAGGATATGCCTTTATCCATTTTTTGTAGCAATTCGTTTTTTGTTTGATGGACATCGACACATACTTTCGTTTTCTAGATCCTTTGGGAGCTCCAGCATCGGAAATTCTGTTTGACATAATCGAAAGTTCAAGCTTACTTTTATAAAATTGCTCTTACAGTCTGCAAAAAATAATAAGCCGGATCTAATTTGAAGATTAAGGAACAACACAATCATCAACATTAACTGAAATAGATAATTAGATAATTTTAGCTTATACCATCTGTTATACATTAAACGCGCACGCGAAATGTATTCTGCACTTGCACAGACGCATATGCGCAGTCGTAAATGTCTTGCGCGCACACGTAAAACGCCTATGCGCATGCGTCAACGCGACGCATGCGCAGAACGATTTTAGCTTTGAGGTCCGGATTATAGATCATTCCGGATTATGGGTGTCCGAATTAACGACTTTTGACTGTACCACATATTCAGGATGAGTTAGTTTTGATTTCAATGCATTTGATTGAATTATTAATAATGCTGTAAAATTATCATTTGTTATTTGAGTTCCATTTATGTCGCAAGCATTGTGTAAAAGTAATATGATATCGATTAGTCTTGAAATGATGCAGTTCAGGGAAAAATATTACTGTTTTTAGAATAAAGAGGAGAAATACCCAGTTTAAAATTAAGCATTAAGTTGCTATTGCTGATTTAAATTACGATTTATATTTAAATAACTTTTTGTCTAAAAATAATTTAAAATAATTTTGGTGCAGCTGACTGTAAGCAAACAGAACTGATAATGCCAAAAAAGCAGTAGTATCAGTATAAGATTTCTTCCATGTCTTGAAAAAGTTTGACAGTAATAAAACAGCTTTCTCCTAGTTGTATTTAATATTTGGATTTTGAGTATATATTTTTTTATATATTTACTTGATTATGTTTACAACTCGGTCCAGGTTCATTTCATAGAGTTCACATAAAGTTTATTATTTTTAATAACTTCATAGAGTTTAATTAATTTTAATAATTTTACCTCATAAAGTTTAATTATTTTTAATACTTTGTTCATCTATTCTCTGCTTTTTTAGTTGTAATTTAACATAGTTAAATATTATGCAAGGTGTTTAAAAATGAATCACATGATTTAAAAAAACATAACTATTCAGATTTTAATCTGTTTTGATTAAATAATGTATAGGTTGAAAAAGAGAAATCTTGAGTTCCATGCAACTGTGGAGAGGTAACATTAATGCTTTTCTTTTGCCTGCCACTTCAGTAGTCAGAGACTGTGTAACAGAAATTGTTTTGTGTCCTATGCTTTACAAAGTGCAAGTCCGTAACAGCTGTCCAACGTGATTTTCATTAACAATACCCTGGTGTTCAACAACCTACTGCTCAGAGCATTAGATGATGGTATAAACAATTCTAGCACACAGGTTGTTGGTGTAAAAGGAAATCATCTAGCCATCCCCACGTGCTAGACGAAGAAGTGGAGCCCATCTGACAGAATTTTGTATGCGATCCACACACTGAAAATCCACTCACTGTGCCTGTAGAGAATTTGACATTCCTGCAACATCTGCCAGGCTGCTTTTTGGCGACATTTCTTTTTCAGACCTTACAGGATTCAATTGATGAAATTTTTTTATACAGGTGGCAAAGAATGATGTGTGGAGTTTTGTGAATTCATCTTTCAGAATGTGTTAAAAGATTACAGTTTTTTTAACACACTTCTTGTTTAGTGAAGAGGCTACCTTTCATCTAAGTAGCAAGGTAGCTTCAGTGTTACAATATGGGGTATGGAGTAACCAACTCAAATTGTACAGCATGAGAGAGACTCGCCAAAAGTTAATGTTTTCTGTGCTGTTTCTTGAAAAAAGGTGTGTGGTCCCTGTTTTCATAAAGGCCACTGTTACAAGAATCACATTTCTCAATATGCTTGAAAACTAGCTTTTCCAACAAGTTAAAAATCAATTTAGATGACTTCATTTACCAGCAGGCCACACTAGTGCTTTCACATTTAAGAATTTTTGACAGTTACATTCATCAACAATAGATTGGCCTTTCGTGACCTGAGTATTCAGTTAAACATCAATGGCTTCAAGATTGTCGGACTCTCTTCCTTTCGTGGGGTTCATAAAAGACTTAATTAATGTGCCTTTACTTCCAGTTGCATTAGCGAAACTGAAGATATACATAACAACAGCCGTGGAAGCAGTGGATGCAGATATGCTTATAAAAGCTTGAAAAGAGTTTGATTATTCTAATAGACATATGCTGGGTATCAAGAGCTGGACATATTGAGCACCTTAAATGTTTGTGTAAAAAGACTTTATGATTAGCCATGTAATATAAAATTAATTTTAGTTTCTATGTTCAATATTCAGTTTTTTCATAATGCATTTCAAATCAGTTTAAAATTTGTAGTTAATCTTATTTCATTACATAGCTGACATTAGGCTTAATGATGGTCACTTGCTACTGGTCATGTCGAATTAATATTTTTTTTCTATTTTGAAACTTTTATTGCACTAATGGTACAGGTTTTAAGAACTAACTCTTTTTATGTTTTTTGGATCAAATTTTCTTTTGCTATTATTTTTCATATGTTTGATTGTGTCTTTTTTTTAACTTTTTTTTTTTTTTTTTTAAACTTGGTGCACTTAAATAGAAAATGTCATGTGTTAAATTTCTTTCTTTTGGGGGGGGGGGGTAGGGAATAAATCTGCCAAAAAGAGGGGTATTTTTTGGGCTATCATGCCAGGGTTTATGGAATGGATTTTAAATGTATCTTTAATTTATTTTGTATTATGTTTTAAACTGCTTTTTACTTTATTCATTTTTATATGTATATGTAAGATAAAAAATATGTAATTATAAATTGCAATTTAAATTAACAACAGTCCCGTAAATCTTAGTTTTAATTTGATATTTCCCCTTTCTGTTCAAAAAATATTAATCATTTTCTATGCTATGTCATATTGAGACTAATGCTGGTGATGTAAATGGAACTAAAACAGCCAATAATAATTGTACTACAGTATTAATTATTCAATCAATCAAAGCACTAAGAACTTCATCCTGAATACAGTTTTCATGCTTTCTACACTTCGGCCTAAATGGACTGCTGCTTGCTGCTCTCTTCATACCGCAAAGATATCGGAAATATAAACATTTTGAAATAGGCACCAAAGTTGTTCATGGCTGCAAGATGATT